GCAATTCATGGACCCATCCTGCCGCCTCTCGAAGATCGATGTGACGGGCGGCGAGCCACATTTATTTCTCGCTTAGACAAAATATTCCATCTGATGATGGGCGTTCTATTTTTCGCTGCGGGAAACTTGCAAGAACTAGGACGCCTGTCCAGCTCGAATACATCTAGGACTAACATTCTGTCTCAGAGCTAGATTTCTATCACACTATACCGAGGTCAGCAAAGTACCATAGGTAGGCAATTTGACCTTCGGTACCTACTCAAGAGGCTCATTTACTCACTTAGAATTATTCGGCACCATTAGACTTGGTAAGGACGATAGACAATAGGCTGACATTGCTCCAATCACAGTAGAATAACAAGTTCTCGGTACACACGAACCAGGGGTGTATCAGAAAGTAATACTACATCAGCACCCGGTATACCGCGTCACGATTCAAAGGAATCGTCACACCGCATTGGGACGCAAACTCGACCAACGGCTCCAAGAGTGGTGGATAATCCCCGTGAACGACGGTCCCTAAATGGCTTAAATGATTGGAAGATTTGATTTCGATTACCTTTCTGCAGGAATCAATATAGTCCTCATCGAACCAGAGAGAGTAGTCTTTCTCTGAATGAAGCCCTAGAAAATGGAGGAATGGGGGGAATATGTCGGGCTGGTAGGGGTCAGGTTTTGGACGAAGACCAAAGAGAAGGCTATAGCTAATAAAGAGTGTGGTGACAGAGGTGAAGTTGTGTAGGGACCACGTCGTAGTATTTGATACCATTGCTTCCCACCACTGGATACGAAGATATACCAAGCTGTGTGATACATTCTGAAGAGCTTCCAGGCACTCCTCTCTACCTCTAAAACGGCTGGATAACCCCTTACCCACCAATGAAAATCGTTGTAGGTTTCTAGGGAGCAACAAGAGCTTTTGGAGGGCTTCGCCCCCGATTCGTGAGTCATTATAGAGGCCTAGTTCGACTACGGTGGATTTACCCTGCCAGTCCTGAAGTTTGGTAATAAATTCTCATCGTAGAAGGACGGCGAGGTATCAGGAGTGAACAGATTATAAGCTCTTATATTAGTAATACTTGGCAAAAAGAATGCAGGGAGCAGACCATTCATATAACTATCCCCATCTATAGGGTTCCCTCTAGCGTACGATCGCAAGTGTGGAGAAAAGTGCCGACTAGCCATCAAAGCAGAGAAACCTTGAATGAATGGTTCATAACTCAGTCCAGGATCGAGTTTTAGGTCCTCTAAATGGGTCAATATACATAAGAGCAAGAGGGCATTCGCCCACATCCTCCCTCCAGTATCTCCAGCGAGGTCACGAACGACATTGTCAGGCAAGGAGCGTCTCATTGCCTCCCTGACAGCGATCGGATGGGACACAAGTACTTTTCTTCTAGGCCCGTCCTCTATTTCGTAGTCAGAGGACGAGCTCCACTCCAGGGCTAAACTTTTGACCAGAGACGCGTAAGCTGGTATCTTGATCACCATCAGGACCAATTCCTGTAGATGTGACAATCGATGTACGCTTATGGTATGATAAAGTAATGGCAAGGTGATGCGATGAAGTCGCTTATCGCAAAGGGACAAATGCAAAAGATTCGGGTTCAGAGGAAGGCTCCATCTCGTAGCTTCCCATTCCCTGAACAGATTCTTTATAATCTCTTCTACTGCCTCTTCTGGCAGTTTGTTGAATAGATTCTGTCTTGTTGCCATAGAAGCTGGAGAGTCGGGGACAGATAGGGTCGGATCAAAGAAATACGGCGGTCGGTGGGGTGGTCGGTGGAGCTGGTAGCTCTCCATTAAATCAAGATTTATGTGACATTAAGTTTACAATCAAAATGGCATTGA